TGGTTGCTGCACATTGCACAAGCCTAAGTGAATAACATCTCGTCAGTCATGCTTGCTCTCTCTCTACCAGGAATATAAGTAGGTTTTACAAGTGCTGGAGGTAAATGATATGCAAGGGCTTTGAAAAAGAAAAAAAAAGCTTAAGCTTCAGCAAATTGAAGCCTGCAGGGAGAGCAGCTAATATTCAGTCACGGTCAGCTGAATTACAGCCCCGCTGGCATCGAGACGAGCGGGTCCACCTTTTACTCCATTTACAGGTGAGAGGAAAAGGCTACATACAAATCTACAGCAAGAAGTGGACATAAAGGTATAGTGGTGGGGGATATTTATCCTTTATGGGCAACACTGCTGACATTTTAAAGACCACTGGGATCAACAGTTGAGTAATCATCACTGCAGGGTATTTGCAACTTTATTAAACTTCCCTGTACTCAGCAAGAAATACTAAAACCACTGCTGTGATACATACTGTATCACAGCAACTCAATATAACAGCTGTTTAATATTCTATATTACACTTGATTTCCTACTGACTTTAAAAGCCTTTAAATTTTGATTTTGCTGCTTTCGCTTGACAGAAAGGGGATCAGCAGCTGTGACGTGCAGAAGACTACATGCAGCTGTACCACCTGAGGTAGAGCCACCCCAGAGGAGATGAGCCTTACTACGGCCTTTAAGCTATCTTAATGATAATGAATGTGACCCAGTAACTGGAATCACACTGAACAACTATGTAACTAGTGCCTCTGGGCTTTGTCTTAGGCCCCTTTTTTATTTATTATTTGTCTTCCTTATCTTTAAGTAACATTTTAGGAAGTTTGGCATATATCTTTATTGCTATACTGATGACACCCAGCTTTATCTGTCTACTGAGCCTGGAACGACCCTCCCATGTCTTCTCTCTCTTTTGCGTTGCAAATGCAAAATTCTGAATTTTCCAGTTTCAAACTTGCCGTCTAAAGTATGTACACTGAATCTGTTGCATCCTCAGAAATGCACCGTGAAGAAAAAATAAGTTGACATGGGACCACGTGGGAGGCAGAGAAATCATTTCAGTGAGCCAACTGACCCGGAGCAACATCTAGCTGCGTGTCTGAGGTAAAATAGGATCATTGTATTTTCAGTACCAGTGAGCGTTTGGAGCTACAAGCACACTTGTTGCCAAATGCAGTGGTCTGATTGTACAGATCTGTTTATTTTGATTTATTATTTCGGACTGGATTAATTCTACGGTGTCTTTATGCAAACTGTGATTTTATTATTTAATTGCTTGTAAGGTGTCTGTGAGTTTGGGTTAGGGTTAGTATTCTTATTTTTATTAATTTGGTCACGTTTATGATTAAGCACCAGATATTCCAAAGTATCCCTGTCACTAAACAACGAGAAATATCTTCACCCCTGTGGAGGCCACAGACATCTAAGTGATGCTATTTTCTGCATGTAGTGACTGACATTTCTCTCCACTTTTAGATTAAAAAAAAAAACTGGAGGCAGAGGAGGAGGATGCCAGTGCACAGCTGACATGATGGACATTATCTCATCAGGGAAAAAAATATACTTATTTCTTCTTGGGGTTTTTTCTTTCTTTTTTAAACCACAAACAGGTCATAATGCATGATGGTTTTAGTTGATGGAGAACTTGCTGTGATTTTGTAGTGCAGTATGTGCTAAATGTATGGGCTCAAATTGTGGTCATAAATATTTTGTACTTGTAAATCAGGATTTGTATGTGTAAAAAAGATTTGTGTGTAGAAAAAAATACGTGTGAAACTCTGCACTCAACTTTCAAGTCGGGGCTGACTGGGACCATTACTGTGAGTCACAGTGCGCAGCATAAAGGTCCTTTCACATCGGACGCAGCATGTGCTGCTAATGCTAACTGCTAACTAAAAGCCAAGAATCCAGAATTTGTTGCGCTGGCTGATGAGCTGGTTTTTGCAGCAGCTCTACCTGTACTAGATGCACCTGCTCCTTGTCGTTTCTATCTCTGACTTTATGTCCTCTACAAGAGTTCTGGTTCTTTTGCTGGTTCTTCATATGTTCAATAAAAACATGTATGCTCATTTATAACAAAGAAAGCTTTGTAACTATCCCCACTAGTGAAGACTGTGTCATTTCTACAACACTGCCCCCCGCCCCTCGAGGTCCGCAGCGCTGTTGATAAGGCTCTGGAGGTCCCTGTATTAAGCACATAAACCTGTGACACAAAAATCACCAAACTCGGACGACCACAGACTGTTTTCCTTCCTGGTGATGAAGGAAAACGCTGGGCTGACATGTAAAAGGACATTTATTCCCTTCAAGGACCTGAAGCTCCATAAAGCACCCCTCCAATAGCCAAACCCATCTGTTCTCTGATTGGATAGTTAAATTTGTGATTGACATGACATTGGCCAATCAGATGAAAGGAAGAAAAATAGGGTCAAAATTCATAGTCCACACACAAATCTTTTTTACACATACAAATCCTATATAATCCTAAATACAGGTACAAAATATTTATGACCACAATTTGAGCCCATATAAATGCAATTTGCAGCTGAGACTTTGAGCTGCACTACAAAATGGTTGACTCGCCATAGAGCGAAGGAGTGGACCCACACTTGCAGCCGAGGAAATGCAAAATAAAACAAAAAGCCTTGAATCTGAATTAATCTGAAATAAAATTAAATTAAAAGAATTGGTATCCTTTACACCTGTAATCTAAAAGAGTGACATACGATCTGCTCATTTGTGTTTTTCCACTTTACAACAATCCCGCCTGAATGTTTTTATTGGTGCTAAGCTGAAATTTTGTCATTGGTTATTTTATGTTTTTAAGCTGGCAGCAAAATCAGTGAGAGGAAGGTGGATTTCAACCCTCCGCTCTCTTTGAGAGTGAG